TAATCTATAATTCTGTATTGCATTAATAATGTAAATGTATAATTCATGTATAATTCCATGCATGGTAATTATAATTTTTTTTTAACCACAGATAATTCCATGCAAATAATAAATTTTAGTGAGCATTTATTATTTTTGATTGTTTTATTTTATACTGGTCAAAAAGTTTTGAACTGTAAAGCATACAATTTTTTATATCATGTAAAGAATGTATTTTATACACTGCAAAATACAAAATTTAAGCAAAATCGATTGAAAAGTTCCTGAGAAATCAAATTTTAAAAATATTACTTTTGAAAAATATGATTTCTCCGAAACCATTCGACCAATTTCGCTCAAATTTTGTATTTTGTCATTTAAAATAGCATTCTTTAAAATGATATAAAACACTATATACCTTTCAATTCAAAAATTTTTCAACTGGTTTGAAATAAAATGATAAAAAATAATAAATATTCATTAAAATTTATTTTAGCATATAACTATCTTCCGATAAACAAATTTCATAATTGAGTGCAACACTTTTTCAATTCGCTTAAAACTCTCAAGATATGTCGAAATACGTAAAAAGTGAAATAAACATTAAGGGTTCCAAATTTTGGTCCTCTCTCCTGACCTTTGGGAACCATATTTCCTAGATTGGGCTTATCTAGCCTAGGTTGATATTTTGGGGTCAGAAAACCGAATCCGTCGGAAAAGAGCAGGTTATTCAGAGAAGGTACATTTTTGTGTCTGATTTCGTAACTTAAAATGTCGTCTGCATAAATTAGTATATTTGAAGTCACTAGGAATCAGATTGGTTCCTAGAACGCGAAAATCCGATCATTAGATCAAAAGTTATTGAGGGTGATCTGTTTATTTTTTTGCGCATTGCACATCTATGGAAATAATTATTATTACACTTTATCTTAACGTGGAAACAACCAGCTAGATTATTTTTTTAAATAAAAAGATGATTATTAATAAATCGCAATAATTTATTTAATTTAGAATAAATAGTTACATCTGTAATCCAACCCTGAAGTTCACAATCATTATGCATAGTATTAAAATAACTAAGAAAAAATAAGGATGTTATTTCCTGTTTTGTTGTTGAATTCGGGTTGAAAACTGAAAATGTACCTTTTCTTTTGGAGTGGCAATTTTCATAAACACGCATTTCGAGTTGCGTCCATTTTTGTGAGCATACATTTTGAGCTGTGTTCACAATTAAAAACTTACCGACGTTATGCTACACGACATCAAGAAACATTTTTTTAAAAATGCATTTCTAAATCGATAAAAATATGAAAAAGCAGTACTTAGTTTAAATCCACCATCGACTGAATATTAAAATGAACCAATATTAAGAAATTCCCAATTTTAGAGACATTTTAAGACTAAATAAAATAAGAAGGAAATGTTTCTGTGATAAAAGAACAACATGCAGATTTTCCGTCTGGAAAATCACGTTAAATTTATTACCAAATTATTATTATCTAAACTAATTATTGAAAACCTAAAAATTAACAACTAATTAAGTAAAGATAGAACGATTAATTTTTAAAAAATTTTAGTACTTGAGAAAGTAAAGGGTTGAAGCCTATTTTTCTATGAAAATTTTAGAAATTTTAGGTTTGTCAAAATTTATAAAGACATATTTTTTTTAAAAAAAAAAATATGAAAGCTAGATAGATTGTTTTAGCATGTTGTTATTGACCACCCAAGAAATTTTCAAGAAAGTATTTTTTCATTCCTTATCATTTTCCTTATCATTTTATTTATTTATTTGCTTATTTTTTACTTTTTAGATTGTCTACCAACTCTAATGGTGCCTTTTTAATTGATTCAGGTAAACAAGATTCTTTAAAAATATTTGAGACCCGAAACTAATTTTCAAAATAGTCAAACTTTCACCGCTCGGATCCTTTTCCACAAAAAAAAATATCTTTATTGTCACAGAGACTAATATTGAGCTTGTCACGCGTAATTATATTCCAGAGTAATTTTCAGCTTTATGATCTTCGCAAAACTAGCCAGGGTGCATCTACTTGAGATGGAAGAATCATCATCAATTCATCTTTTAAATGCATATAAACCGTATTTACTATTTCTTAATAAATTTCATACATGTTTTCAAAAATAGAAAAATATCGCTTTATCTTAAAATCATTATTGATTTAAAACCAACTCTTAATTTTCATTTTGACCTTCTTGTAAATTGTTTTTTTTTTTTGTTAAAAAAATATTAATGTTTCTATTTTTTTTTAAATTATCCACCAGTCGGTCTGGTACTACTCCACATATTTTGCTTTGAGTTTACTGAATGTAATCATGTTTTTTTAGTTTGATAATTTTAGATTAAATATTTCTAATTTAATTAATTATACTATGCTGTAAAACAATATCTTTAACCTTTAGTGTTTAATTTTCAATAATTAATATTTATTTGATTAAATTGTAAAATAATAGTTTTTGTCAATTCCATTCTTTATAAAATGTTCTTTTAAATTTAGCTATTTTGTAACTTTTCTGCCGGCTCGAAGGCATCATTTAAAGTGTATCTTCTGTCTCCCCTTGTGATATTTTTTTAAAAACTTAGATGATACATATTCCAATATAAATCACAAACCTGGTGGCTTTAAAAATCTGTGTCTGAAAGTTAAAATTATGATCGATTAATGTGTTGTTCTTCGTGCCCTTGTGGGAATTTCCTCATCTCATTTTGTAATATTCAGGTCAGTATAAATTGTTTTTTAATGTAGTGTGCTTCAGTTTACTCCAAACACATTAATTACCAAATCAACCTTAGCGGGTTCCCTTTGCAATGTCTAACCTTGTATTACCTTAATTTATCAGCTTTCTTTTTTAACTGTCTCTTTTTTAACTTTAGCTTCACCATGACAGTCACCCAGCATTTTAGACGCAATTATTTTATTGACTCTGTAGCGAACAAAGTATTATATTAATACAGTAGAACTCAGATTTAAAATCCTCCCCGATTAACGATTTCCCGTTTTTAACGTCTTTTCAGCTCGGTACCCTTTTCTTTCCAATATCAATATTGTAAAACAACTCCGGTACTTAGAGTATCCTGTAATACTATTTACCTGAAATACTAGGTTCTTATACAACTTCTAATATTCAACAAAAAGGAAAAATAAACGTATTAAAAGCGTTAAACTTAATATCGTCGATCTGGAAAAAAGTTTAAAAAGATTGTTTCATTAATGGTTTCGGAAAAGATAGTTTTGCATCAGTTCCAGCTGACATTCGAAATTCCAGGGCATAATGTTGATACTGACATCATAGTAATGAAGAATACTGAGAATCTTTAGATCCACCACCATCATTTACTGAGCCAGTAGTTACGCTTTAAAAATTTAAACCGATAAGCAAGAAAGAGAAATGAATGTCCTGGATTGTTGAAAAACTTACAATGTACCTTTAGATAAAATAAAAAGGGTGCACGAATAAAAATGTCGGATTTTTTTTTTCATTAAAACAATAAAAAAAATATTTTACTAAATAAATTACTTCAAGTTTCAAATTGTATTTAGGTATTTAACAAAATATAATTAGATTTTGATGCATTCTAATTTTATTAAAGTTTAGTGATTTTATTAAGGACTTTTCATACCCCCGATATAGGGACGTCCTGCTATTTACGACGTTTTTGTCCTGTCCAACTAACTCTGTTAAATCGACGCTCTACTGTAATAATAATGATACATAATTTTAAAGTAATAGAACTGTAAAACAGTCGTATGGTTTAAACTATATTCTTTTTAGACCAACTTTTTTCAAAAGTGTGCCTCTATCTAGAGGGAAAAAAATTTGCATATCACTTCATACTTTTCCAACATACTAAAAAAATATATAAAAATTTTAAAAATGTCACTTTAGTATGACTATGTAATTTTTACCCATATGGCACTTTCTTCCTTATCAGTTTGAAGGTGGAGATTTTAGAAAAAATTTAATGAATAAAACAAAAGTACCAAACTTAGATTTTACTGTTAAATTTTTTAAAAACTTAGTCAAGTTATGCATAAAATGAAATAACTTACTTAAAACATTTTATTCTAAAACAATACGGTTTACTTGCACTGTTATATGTATTTGTTAGCGAATAAGTAGAGTTTTTACGAATTTTGACCATGCTCCTAGACAAGATGCGACATTATTATCTTTTCAAATTCATAATTTGAAGTTACATTAATTACAGTTTTAATTGAAGTTGTATTACGTCTTTGCGTGCAACTGTTAAAAATACGCCATGCAATACAGTGGCACACGTGGCTAGAGTTTCTTCATTAGACTGAAGCTTTGAATATTTTATAAGCTTCCTACGTTCATTTTTTTGTCTAAATAAAACTTAATGAATTTTATTAAATTGCCTCATATTCAATATAAAGAATTCAATATGCTATAGATTGGCTACCATTTCTATATGGAATGAAAAGAAAACACTGAGTTGGTACACAGTAATTTCAGGATAATCTAACTGCTATTTTCAAAAACAATGACGCTGAAGCAAAACTATTTAGCTCAAATTTTATAATTACAATTTATAAGTTTACAAACTATTACTTGAACTGCTCATCAGCTTAATTCATTTTTCAGATGACGGCATAACTATAGGGCAACAAATATCGATCGCAAAACTAGGGGAAAAGACCTTCGTTAGTTACTAATTATAATAAAATTTTCAATTTTGAATTAATGAAACACGCTAAGAAACTAACTTAGCTTTTCTCGCAATTATATTTTTCCATCTTACAAGCATCTATTCAATTTTCAGTTAATTTTTTTAGGTAGTTCAACCTTTTTGATATTGTGAATTTCAATCATTTTACCACCCACAAAATTTAAAATTCTTGCGTGTTGAAAAACTCAGCTTTTATTTCAAGCTTTTTAATGTTTTAAAGCAAAAAATGACCTTACATAACAAAAGTCTCCTATTTATTAAAGTAAAAAACGAACTGAATTCATTTTTAAATTATCATAATAATACTCACTTTTATGAGGACCTCCAGTGTGCTCTTATTTAAGTATTTACTCCTTGTATACTCTATGCATACTCGACATCAACTACAGCGACATACTTTTCTGAAAAAAGAAAAAAAACTATGAATATTGTCCCTCCAACTACTACGGAATTTCCGAATTGTAAGGAGATATTTTTTCTAATGGTAAAAAAGGTAATATATTAATATTTTAATAAATTAGATTTAAAAGAATATTGTCCTACTACTACATATAAATAATTTAAATCGATATATTGAAAGTCATATTGCGAAATGATCGTGTGCTCTGTAGTTCTAATTAAAAATTTTATAGAAATTCTTCTGGTTTTAAAAATTTCTTCTTTAATTCACTAACATCGATTAATATATTTCGACCAAAACTCTTTTGCTGGAGTTTACGTTGTCCAACAATTTAAGAACCACCTAGAATTTTAGGTTAAATTCATCATTTTCAAAATGTTTTTCTTCTCATGATGATAGAGAATCATTTTATAGCACAATTTCTTTGAAAAAAATTGCAAATTAAGACCTAGTTTTAATGGCACTCGCTAGAGAAAGTCTAGAAAAGGGAAAGAAGGTCAATACTTGTAAAATAATGTATTACGCTAAGGTGCACTGATACCCCTCAGAAAATTCAATAAATAAAAGATTATAAATTGCTGTAACTGCCATCAGTTACTTTTTTTATTAAATTGCAAAATGATTCTATTAAATCTACTTCAGTTCATAAAATGTTGCGTTTTTCAATTTAATGCTATTTAATTATTTCTCTATTACTTTTGTTAATTGAAGATGTAACAAAAAAAACTTTATACGTTAACTAAAAAATTAATGAATGCTAATATCCAGTGCTTCCTTTTTTGTGCTCGCAACATATTTAAATAACATAATAATATATTCAGATAAAGCATGCTTTTTTTTTTTGTTATAAAATTTATATTTTTTTAAAAACGAAATTTTTTTTTCAAAAGTTCTTATTTTAGTTGGTTTTAATTGAACTATTAATACTATTATTTGAAAATTTCTGAGGCCAACATGTAAAATTATTTTTTAAAAATACGAAAAAAAATCTTATTAAGGATTTTTTTAAAAATATTTCAATGAATAATAAAGGTTGGAATACGAAGGAAAGGTTGGAAAAAGAGGAGAAGATTTCTGCAGGTACCCTAGCATCGTTTTATAAGATAAAAAAAATAGTATATAATTTCCTTTGGGAGTTCAGAACCCTTCATTACAGTTTTCAGCAATAAGTTTATTCGATTAATAATAAGTAATTTTCTACTGATTTTGAACTATGTCTGTTTCTATCTATTTTATTTTCAAATTCCTTTTATTTTTGTTTAAACTAAAGAAAACCTATTTGGAAGATGTTGGCAAAAATAAAGCAGGCAAGCTAATAATATTGACTTTTTTTGAAGAAAAAAAAATTAGATTCTAAGCATAACTTTGTCACAAAATATATCCTGTCAAATTCTAAAAAAACACACGTTTTGTATCTGTTATTTTGAGAGGGCGAAGGTCTGGTATTCAACTTTGAAAGGACTTCAAAGATTTCAGCAAATATCAATCATCAGTTAATTTTTAAAAATTAAATAAATGTTATTAAAAATAAAGATATTATTTAAAGTATTAAAAAACAATAAATTTTTATCACGCAAATCTTTTATTTATTTTGCACTTCATTCGGCAGATATGCGCTGTGCATTAATGAAACTCATAAATATTTAAATAAATTAATTAATATATAAATAAAAGCAAGATTATTATTAATAATAAACAATTTATTTAAAAATTTATTAATTTGTATAAATAAATCTTATCAACTAAAAATCAATGAATTTCTTGCATATCAATTTGAATCGTTTTCTTTTTATTTAATACAAATTCAAATTTATTTAATATAAATACTTCTTATTTAATACAGTACTTGAATTACAAATACAAACTATAACAGTATAAGATGAAATAAAAGAAAGTATTGAAAAACTCTCAAGGTTTAGTTTTTCATGCCATTTCCTTGTTTCAAAACTTTCATATTAAGTTCGATTATTTAATTTTTTTAATATTGCTACTTGTGATTGTATTTAGTGACACCTAGATATAATAAAAATACAATTTAGGATTCATCGTCTGCTACGTATATTTTGCCCTCTCATGCTTAAACTTTTAATATTATAAAGATACGCGGTACTTTGTAATGAGAATCCTTAATGTATATTTTTATTATCCCTTTCAAAAATAAAGTCAAAAACAATTCACAACTAATGTTTAAGGCAAGAAAAATATAAAATTGTTATCGGAATCTGACAATTTGAAGAAGACTAAATTCAAGGCATCAAAACCTGTTTGATTACCGGTTAAACTTTGAAGGTGTGTATTATAATTTCTTTCCACTCATCCTGCTTTCTAGCACAACCAAAAAAGTTTTGAGGATTTTAAATCCATCTTTTGATTTAGTGATTTTTAAATTTCGGTCCGACAATGGACTGATCGTAAGACACGGTTCCCGATAGATCACCGAAGTGAAGCATCACTAGCTGCGGTCAGTGAGGATATGGGTAACACTTTGATCAGTCTGCGAAGGGACTAACGGTGCTCGGTATCGGCCCTCATTAAACTGTTTCTACCGTCGGCGAAGAGAGATCTCCTTTGCAGGTGAATCAAAATTGTGATGGCATGTTATCGTATCATCCTCAGGTGTTTATCCCGCGCCGTCTATTGTGCAGCTCTGGCGTGATATTAACTGAAATACTAATTTGCGGCCCCTTATGTATCCCTTTTATACAACTCTTTTCTATTTTATATAAACCATTTGAGATTGTACCCTGGAACAGCGAAGTGTTCTGTATCTTAGGATGGAGCAGTTCTTAATTTTTTTTCAGCGATGGATTACTAAATGATAGTAACAAAAATGATAATAAACATGTAAACTAAAGAAAGACTAACAATTATTTTGAAAACAAGTATTTACTAGTATTTTTATTCATTTAGCAAATATAGTTTTAAAAATTATGGATAATACACTAATAAGACATTTAATTTAGCAGGTCTGGAACGGTGTCTAGTTCAGTTCTAGATTCAGTTCTAGATTCGTGTATGTATATGCTAAAAATGAATAAAAGAAGCTGAATTATGGTTTTTGTTGACGATACGGTGTTTGTTGCTAATATGTTTCATTCAGTATATAAATTTTTTTTTAATTTAAATTGATTTCTTTAAAAACAAATAAAATAATAAATTTCACTTTTTTTAATTTTTAATTTAAAATAGATGGATATTTTAAAAAAATATATCATTTGAAATTTAAATCAAAATTTTTTATTTTTTTTTTAAAAAAATACGTTGTAATAAAACTGTTATTAAAAATCTTGTAAAAGCTTAATTTTAATTTAAAAATTGGTAAAAATTAAAAGTTTGTAATTTAAAAAAATTGCAATTTATAATTCAAATTAAAATTTTTTGTTTTTTTAAATAGTCTAAGAATTTTAATTAAAATTAAAAATAATTTGTATTAATTTTTCTTAATTTTAGAAATTTAATTTATTTAAAAAATTAGTTTAAATTAAAAATAATAATTTATAAATTGAATAAAGCATAATAGATAGTTATAACCTTTTTCAGAAAAGCAAATTAGAGACAAAATCCCCGCTGGAATTTGAAATCGGGTAAAATGTGGAGGGCCTAACAGTTACACCACGCTTACACATGCGTTCGAAAGCTTTGCTAATTTAAAAGTAAAATTAACTGAAACTTTAATGAGTATAAATTGGCCGTCTACCTTAGGGGCATAGATTAAGCATCTAATTTATACCTTATCCTTGATCCCTTCCCTATATCTTGAAGCTTAACTTTATTTTTATAAGAATTTTCGAGATGCGTACTTTCTTTTCTAGAAATATTTAGTAAAGAAGAACTCATGAATGCAATTAAATATTTTTTTGAAAAAAAATTCAATTCATTAAATTAAACTAACTTTTTGAGGTATTTTTAATTTTTACATAAAAATGTTAAATTTTAATTTTCAAAATTTTTTTACTTAATGTAGGACATATTTACGGTGTATTTCTCCATATTTTGGTCATGAAAACTTCCACTAACGATTTTAAAATCAATAATATTTTTACATAGACAATCGCTTTGTTAAGGCATGCAAACAGAAAAAAAAAATTTCTTATAATATTTTTAAGCCCTAAAATTGTATCAAATGTTGCCCAACGTATTTAAAGCTAGGTTTTAAGAGGTTGAGAAGATGACAAAATTTTATTTTAAATTAGTTTGTGTTACAAAATATAATGGTAGACAGGGAAAATCGCTTGAGCATTTAAAGATTGCCTTTAGATAAGATTAATTAGATTAATATTAATTAGATTGCCTTTCGATTGGAGGATGAATTGTCAAGGATAAAAAGTAAGATGCGAGAAATGTGCTAAGAGATACAATATTCTCCTCTAGTTAAAGTTAAAAGAAATAGAAATGGTAGTGATTGCGGAATAACCTGTATTAAACTGAGAAGCTAATCGGTGATGAATAACCCTGTAAAATTGTTTCACCTTTAGTGAACTAGCTATGTTGGAAAACTTAAATTTTTTTTTAAGGCTTAGTAGAGTTGTTTAGAAGTTGATGATTGCTTAGAATATATATGTTTGAAATGCCAGGCATATTAGTCCAAATTTACTTTCAAAATTAAAATTTGACATTATTAATCTTTTTTGACACTATTAATATTATAAGCATGTCATGAGTATTGCATAGCTTTAATTTCTAACTTGCTGGTCTAACAATGAAAAATATTCTGATTCCAAGTAAAATTCGTCACTCTTTCACTCATTGCATATATGCATGTATGTATATGTATATACACACATGCATATCATGTGCATAAATGTTAGACTCAAAGTCACTTATAAGTTAAAAGAATACCATTGTAGAAGATTATTTGGAAAATATTTACTTTCTAAGAGTCTAGAAGTCTTTTGAATAATTGAAAAATTTATAATAAATGTTTTAATTAAAGCAGATGCTTCTTTTAGTATAATTGATCATAAAAATATATATTTCATTTTAAAAAAATCGCCATTTAATTGTAAGTATTACAATTTAATTTGAAGTCAATGCTGAAAATGAGATTATTGAGCAAATAAAAATGATTATCAGTGTTGAAAAATGAATAGTTTTAGAGTTTATATTATTTGAAAACTTTCAAATGTTTCAACATATTATTGTTTATAAAATTTTGTATTGATAAAAATGTCTATTTTTTGTAATCGTAATGCAGAAATGTGTCTAACACATACAAAATAGAAAAAAAATAATTTTCCTTAATGTAAAACTCACCACCATTTTCCCTTAACTCATCATCATCTTAACTCTATCAAAACTATTGTCAGCCAAGACAATAACACTTCCAACACATAGCTATTCCATAAAGGAAAAAATTTATTTGAAAAAAAAACATTTGATACGTTTTGTATTTTACCACAGCTGATTGAAATTTTACAACGAAATATATTAAACTTTATTGTTGGAACAATAATGACAATATAGTAAAGAATTAGCATGAAAATTTTTTGAAAAATATAGCAAATGATTCACATGTTCCACCCCGTATCTAAAAGTGAATTAGTGTTGAAATGTTTGTATTGAAATCTATAAAAAAGAGCTATAGTAAGTTAATATAAAACATGTTTAACTTACATTTGGCTCTAATAAGTGTCTTCGCTTATTGGAAAAATAATTGAATGACTCTAACAGAGGAGTAGTGTCCCCACTGAAGAAGGGCATCTAGTCTTGGCAAATCAATAGTCAGCGGACGGGACCACTTGGAATGTATAAGGGGTGCTCCTTTTTCTTTGCTTTAAATAAGACATTCCTTCAATGAATGTTGAAAAAGAACTTTATTTTTGGCAAACCATACATTTGTAAAGAGATTGAAAAGTATTTTAAACAATTTAATAGCGGATTTTAATTTTCTAGATATTTTGAAACAATATAGCTCGTTAAACTTGGACATGTCTTTTAAATTTTGCATACAAATTTTGTTTTTATTGAAAACGATACAAAAATATTTAAAATTGCACATCTTTTGCTCTCTTTTGAAACATGAAATTCGCTTTGAAGATTTGATTAACTTATTTGTCAAAAAGAATCTGGAAATAAATAATTTAAAGAATTATTAAAGCACTAATTGTTCTATAAACAAATTAAGAAATTTTTCATGCTCAAACTCCATTACAATCAAGTAAAGTAGTGCTGGTGATGATATTTAGTTCAAAACTACAGTGAAGAAGAATAAAATGACTGCTCTCTCTGATGACTAAATACCGATCCACCTTCATAGGTGTTCTTACAAACATAATACATTTTTAAACTTTTAATTGAAAAAATATTTAAATTAATATAACTTAAAAATAACGTTATCAAACTATTAAAATCATTATCGGGATCAATCAAAACGAAAAGTGAGTGAAATAATAAAAAAAGAAAGTTTATTAATAATATGAAGTGGAGTTCAGTTGAATTCATTTATATATATATATATNATATATATATATATATACATACAAGCACACCGGACAAAAAATTAGTCACCCTTAGAGGAATCATGAAAAACATCATTTAAATAGCGTGTAACACCGTAACACCGTCTATAAAATCCTGGATTTGGTTGAAAAGGAAGTCCACAAGGTTATACCGGTAAGTCGAATCCAGTTTAAGCCACTCGTTGAGGATTTGATCGGACAAATGCACCAAATTGCGAGGATGCTGATTTCGTCGTTTTACCCATTGTTCCAACATGCCCCAAAGATTTTCAATGGGATTGAAGTCAGGTGATTTTACAGGCCAGTGAAGATGTAATTGAGTGTCTGGGTGCTCATAAAATCAGTCATATATTCTTCCAGCCCGATGAACTTTGTTGTTGTCATCTTAAAAGATATCGAAAACACACTCTTCATGAAGATATTAACTGAAAGGCAACATCTAATCATCCAGAATGTTCAAATAAACATGTTGGCTATCCATAATTAAAAAAAACTACCCCAAATCATGACAGACCCATCTTCGGCTTGAACCTGACCTTGCACACAGTCGAAAGGAAATGTTTTATATGCTCTTCGTTGCACTCGACGACGTGCGTCTTTTGAATAAAGGCAAAAAACGTGATTCGTCAGACCATATTACATTCCGCCAGTCAGCAACTGTCCATGTTCATTGCCTTCCAGCCCTCTGAAGTCGAGCAGCTTTATGTGCCTGTGTGATCAATGGTCTCTTACGAGATGTTCGACTCCAAATGTTAATTGCATACAGCTCCAGTCGCAATTTTCTCTCACTAACAGGTTGGGATGGACCTTCATTCACTAACTGAAATAATTTCTATCGGATTTGGAAGCGATTTTGATTGACAAGTCATGAAACACGTCCCCGGTCTCTTTCATGCAGGATCGTCTTCCGACCACAATTCTGACGTCGTCCTTCGTGACTACGTGTATTACACCACTGCTTGTAGAGACGTTGAACAGTCCGCATTGATGCACCAGCAAATCCAGCAACTTCATTCACCATATGATCATTGACACGGTGAAACACAATTGCCCCTTTTTGCCACTCTATCACACTATTACAGTTACCCATACTTACACATAATTTCCGCTTCAAACAAAAATATCTAATTGATAGCTACTCGTATTTGATCACATTGAATCAGCATGCCCGCAGTTGAGCGCGCCACTTGACCACTGCGTCATCTAGCGAAACCTAATGATTCATCGGTGCTTGCTCACTAGGGTGACTAATTTTTTGTCCGGTGAGCTTATATATATATATGTTTGAATATAGAAGTATTGCATATAAACTCGTGCAAATCATATAATCATCAAAAACTACAGTGCATCTAATAATTTGATCTAATTATTATAATATACTAATATAATGCTTGATATAATAAATATTCTATATTTATATAATATATCGTCTAATTTATCCTATCGTCAAATTTATATTATATTTCGTCTAATTTAACCAATTGATACACTAACGTAAACAAGTGCAAACAATAAAGCTGTATTTTCTTCTCAATTAATATTCCCTCCTTTTGATATCAGAACTAGTCAATTCCTGTACCATAACTTTTTGCTATACCAATTCAACTAACGAATGAGATTATTTTTCGTTTTGCAATCAAATATTTACTTGTAGATATTCATAAATTATTTTCATGTCATTCTTTTTAGATCCACTGGAAGCGTGGAAAGCGTGGATGGAGTCTGAGTTTCTTGCAATTAGTGAAAAGAATTGGAGATCAAGGATAAATCGGAAGGCGAAATCCTCAGGAGAAGGCCAACTCTGAGGAAGATTCTACATGAAATTTAAATGATTTGCGAAGTAACTCTGTCATTATATACTTATCATAGAGGAAGCAAAACACACAACATGAATAAAGCACAAATGAAAGTACGGAAATGGACATACGTACGGTTTTGGTTTTATAAATAGGAGCCCTTTTTTAGGGTCTAAACAACAAATGATGGCAGAAACGCAAAGAGGCAAACGCGGGTAAAGTGGTTTAACCAATAGGGACAGAAGAACAACTATGAAAATGATGACAATTAAAGGAAATAAGAAACAGGTGAATAAAGCAAAAATTAAAATGGATATACTAAAGTTTTAGTTCTATAAGCAAGAACCTTCTTCAGTGTTTTAACACCAAATGCTTCTTATCTGCCTATTTCTTATCTCCTTTTATAATCATCTTATTTAAATTAATTCCTCTCTCCCTATTGGTTAAACCACTTTGAATGTGTTTTGTAGAGAAGTACATAGTTGATTCAATTATTAAGTTTCCTATTGTAGTGCATATTTGAGCACTGCATGTAAATTCGATGAACTTTTATGTCAATGTCGCGGTTAAATTTTATTTTATTTTATAACCGGTGTTCAACAGCTGACCCATTTTTGTGTTTACGACTGCCAATGTTCAGTCCCGTAACTTTATATCCCGTAATATAGAAAACTAAATAATCCAAGAACATATTTTCCTGTATTTGGAACAACTATTTCTATTAAAAATACTTAACTGGAATAGACTACTTTTGCGAACAGATTCGAGACGATATTTCATAGTACTTAACAAAAGGCAGAAATGTCCATAACATGTGTTTGAACTACAAGTTTTTAAATCGTAACAAATTTTTCTAAAATGTAAGAAGCAAATAAAATGAAGTGACGTCTGATGTCATTGATAACAGTGAATGTTGATAATAATAGTCAAATAGAGAAATAAGAAGAGCATCATGGATATATAGTCAATAAAAGTCATATACTTTTTAAGTGACACTATATGATTTCTATAAATAGCGGATGAACTTTTCTTTAAGATTACTTAGCCAGTGGTCACCAATGTATTGGCTTATACAAGGTATAAGTTGAAAGTTGGTTTATACAATAAATACAAGGTATAAGTTGAAAGAAGGTAGCGATGTTCGTTTTTCTGTATTGATACCAGAAATAAATAAAGAAATTTATAATTTAAACCATCTTCATATAATTTTGCTCACTTAAACACCAGAAAAATTATTTCCCTTAAAAAAAATTTGTCGTAATTGCGGAGTAATTTTTAACTCGTTTTAAACATGCAATTTTTGTATCTTAAACTATAACATTTTGGAGGTAACTAGGAAATTTGTGTTAATAATGGATTTCTCAAATATGTAACATTCGTTATATCGATCTCTTACTGTATTTCCAGTTAGCGTGATACATTACAAAATGCACGCGACAATCGTAAAGAGATGAATGTACGCCTGATATATCTACTAATATCAAAATTCGGACACTTTTACATAGCGTATTTCACTTTAATCCAATTGCTGCAGAATATGTGTGTTAAATATTAAGTTGTTATAGCATAATATTTCGTCTTACAAACAAAGTTTTCTAACTGTGACTAAACGATATTTTTTTTATTTCAAGTTTAATAGACAGCCTGTTCATTCTGGCGTATTCAATTTTCTTGATATTTCAGAATCTTTGTACTTTTTCATCACTTTTTTCAGAAATAGTTAATTTTAGAATTTCTTAAATGTGTTTTTATATTAAATAAAACATTTTGGTGTACCCTTCGTGTAATTAATTATCTGTTTCATAATTAAACAGAATTCTATTGAAAAATAGCTATGAAAAATAGGTAAAAAGCAGGACATAATATTCTTTTACATCAGTGAGTATTCTCAAGAAGGTACAATGAACAAAATGAAAAATATATTACCATAAAAAACTTTTATTTAAATGATTGGATTTTCGCGAACTAAGTTCCAATTTTAAGGTTTCAAAGGAGTAATTAGTCACAAAACGTATTTTCTTCAAATATATATATATATATATATATGGTGAATCTAAAAAGATGGGCAAAATTTTTATCAAAGAATGCATGGTCGAAAACAAAACCCGAAGGTGCTGGCGCATTTGGAAAGTTGTTTGATGCAAACGAGAAAGCTCCATTCC